GACCATCGTGCGAAGATAGAGAACCGTTGAAATCTTCAGCACCACAAGAAAAACAATCGGAATATCTATCGAATGCTAGAAAATATGATACATTACCAAGAAATTTTTCACTCTCACAAAACTACAAGTATACTACAAATCCTTCATATTCTTTGTCATCTTATGCTGACAGAAAGACAGAAACTTCTAATGACAAGAGTCTTAGTGAAAGTGACAGAGAAAGTGCAGGGTTTTCAGACAGGTTTAGGAAAATACATGTTTCACACCCTGCAAAAGGATCGAGTAATCGTTCAGATTCATTAAACAATGTTGACCCTGGTTCAAATGTTGTCACTCGTAGTAATCGGTACCCTTTTAATTTCAAACACGAAAATGATGCCGGTACTGAATACGGAGCAGCAGCATATAAAGAGTCATATAAAGCAAGAGTTGGTCTGCTGAGCAAAGCTGATACTATTTATGAATCCAAGCCAACGACAAGACAATTAGAACCATCGAAACACCAACACCATGAAATAATTCGACCTGAACGACCCAATCCCACTTCTTTTTCGAACGAAGTGCAAACTGTTCCGTCAAAAACAGTTAAACATATCGCCTCCCACAATACTGCTTCTAGTAAGGTGAAAACAATAAAAGCACAACCTCCTCTAGTTCAATCTTCAGTTGCTGTAACTAAGAGTGTCGATGCAGTTAAGGATAAACACAGTGTGTCTATAAAAGGTATCTCCACATCAGCGTATGGTGTCAAAAACTGCAGATCTATCCCTGTGGAAATAGGTCATAGAACAAAGAGTCGTCATACGTACATCACAGAAGAACAAGTAGAACGAAACATGACACTGTTGTTATATCGCCAATGGTACAAGGAGTTCCTATCAGACACTTGGAGTACATATTCTTGCAAATCAAGTGATTAAACTTGCCATATCTTAAAGATGCATGCCTCCAGATGACCCAAAATATTTCAAGAAAATTAAACTTGGAAAAAACATACTAAAACTTTAAGAAAAGAAAACAAATTAAAGATTCAAGTGAAAATTTATATCTTATGTGCAATTAATGACTGTATTTTGTAGTATTTATCACCATATTTCTGCTGCGTTTCTAACGCAATAGGGGCTATTTATGCATATTTTGACCTCTTTTTGGTAATTTACGTGGATTTTAAGTGCCGATTGTTATGTGTCAAGTACTTTCTTTGTTCATTTCACAATATTTTACCTTTAAATACATTTTCAAAATTTTCATGAAAATTAGGATGAATCTGGAGGCGTGCTGCTTTAAGTAAATGATAAATATGCAGGCAAAACATAAAAGTTATTCAAGTGAGTGACGTGTATAAAATGGTGTGTAATATTGATTACGTATTTTTTTACAGATGCTTCTTATCTGTTGCTATATCATGGATTTTCAAAGATTTTCTACTGGACATATACATATGCTAGATTGCTTCAATGCCATCATTGTCATTGTGATTGTTTTACTTAATTCTCATTTGTTTATAAAAAGTTAATGATATCCTTTCGACGGCCATAGCGTAATAAAACGTACCGAAAAATCGACTTCTCAAAAGCCGGGCGCTATAGTCATAAGAAGGCTATAACGTAATAAACCGGTATAAAATTTTGGCTTCCTGAAAGCCACTACTGTTTTGTCGTAGGAAGGCCACCAAAATTTAGTTTTAAATGACTAAATTCTTAAAGTTTAACTTTCATTTATTTCATTCTGTTAAATGTTGTTCAAATAAAAACACCAAATATGTTAATTGTATAGTGCCCTTTATTGACAGATATAGTAAATGTTTAGATATACAGTACACTTTTTAATTAATGTGGTAATCAAATCGATATAAAAATTAATTGAAGAAAATCTTCTAAATGGTATAGTATTTTAAAATGCATTTATTGATACATCAAACGGAGTTTCTGTAAGCAGTCCTCTTATTTGAAACAATAATGAGTTTAACTTACAAAATTCACGTTGAAAAGCATATAATATCAATCACCCTTGAAAATTGATTTTCATTGATTTTCAATAATTACGTTTTAAAACGTTGTGGACGTTTTACTCAATAGGGTATTCTAATGGGCTATATCGGTAAATAACGTAAAATTTACCGTTTTAAAACGTTCAGAAATTGTTTTAAAAAACAAGGATTGTGAGTCTGTTTATTGCAGTTGAACGTAATATTAACAGTGTTATACGGTATGGCTTTGTTGTTTATCGTATGCAGTTGAACAGCCATACCGTAATATTTTGATTTTTAATAAACACTTAAAAAACCAGAATGTACGAAAACGAGGTTTTTACGGGTTTGCATGACACAAATTCAAGTTTTAAGCTGATTTACGCTACGGTTTCTAGAAAGGTATATTTTTGATACGTTTTACTACGCTATGGACGTCAGGGCGTAAAATAAGACTGGCTTTCAGAAATGTAAAAATTCGATACGTTTTCTTACGCTTTGGCCGTCCTACGGGTATAGCGGATGGCCGTCGAAAGGATATGTACTAAAATAAAGTGATCTTAAACTATAAAATTGTTCATTGTTGAACATAGAAATTGCCTACCTAATTACCTAACTTACTTTATGGGACTGAAAAATGTAATGATACATTTTGAGAAAACTTGCATAAAATAGTGTGCAGCTTGAACGTACATTTTTGCGTTTTCTTTTTCAAGAAAGGCATGTATATAAATTCTATATATATATTATAGATGGCGTAACTTTTGTGACTCATGGATTTCTTATCGTTTTCATGTTAATTATTATTTGTGTGGGGGGAGGGGGAGATACCAGACTTGCTTTTTCTATATGCCTCTTCTAAGAGTTTGAATTTCAAATATTTTTATTCGTATTGGAAGTTCATTTTATTATTTGAATTAATAACTTATTTTGAAACCTATCATAGTTATTTAGATATTGGCGGAATATATGAACTGTTGAATTAATACTTATACGTCATCCTAGTTAAATCTAACAAAGGTCATTGTTATAATAATTATATGCAACCATGCATTAGAAGGCAGTGTTACAATGTTACTCGTACATTGGGATTATTATAGTTATTATCTGATTTAGTTTAAAAAAAAAATACTAAGAAGTTTAGATGTCCTGAAATCACCAAAATTTAAACAAAAAATTGGTCCAATTTATAATTTCTGAGTAGCATACTAATAACACCTTGCTGGAAATTCTAACTTTAGAATCTGTTAGATAAAGACCAATTGTTTTGCCCTAATAAAAGGGAGAAGGTCTAGATCTGACGTCGATTAAGCTCTTGTAATCATGATTTTATAGAACCATTTATCATTTTTTATCTGATATAGATTAACAGTAAATAAAATTAATATATTTATAAAAGTAATATTAAATGTGTGCGGATTTTTTGTGTGGTACATACACACATAAAATGTTCATGTAGATACATGTATAATGAAAATGTTTATCAACATAATGAAAAATTTCAACAAAGGTCGTATACATTTTTAGGCTTCAAGTGAGCCGGGTTGAAAGTTGAAATGGCCCATAAAGTCAATTTGAACGGGGTTAAATTTAATGTTACTAATTTAATGTTTAATGTTACACTGGCAGTCAGTTTTATTAAACAAAATACAATGTATTTTTATTTAAAAGTTGTCAAAATTGAGAGAGAAAAACTTTATTATGCACTATAATGTATGTGTTTTATTTCTATCAATATGTAAAACCAGAATACTAGTTAACATAAAGTTTTGAATCAATAATTAGATATGTACAAGGTTTTATTTTGGTTCCATCGTGTACAATTATCAAGCATTGACAACAATGTGATATTTTCTATCTTCCTGCAAATAAGTTCGATGATTTATATCAATGTATAAAAGATAAATCAACATATTGAATGGACCACAGACTTATTTACCTTTAGATAATACTTAAAAACTTCTTCAACTATGTCTTAGTTTGAAAAAGTAGAAGTAACAATTCTACATAAAAGTATAAAGTAGCTTCTTGAACGTTTTATTTTTTTAAGAAACCACAACAATTTTTAGTCTATGAAGGTTTCCACTGTTACGAGTTGAGCTAATGAGAATCCTTTGTGCATCTTCTGGTGTGAAGGGATTGTCTGGATGGTTGTAGTGCACAATCAGATTATCGTTTAGGTACATCTGAAGATGATTAGAAATAAATTAAATAATTTGTCAAATCTATTTCAGCGATATCATTTAGATGTACATGTATAAAGATTATGTTTTTTATAAAATATATATAAATTTCTACCAGCCTTTTTATCATTATATATACATATAGACATAAATTATCTTTAAAATTTAATTGTAAAAGTTATTGACTATTGTCATACAAATATTACATAAGATACATGTTCATGCCAGTCTCAATAGTGTAAATTCAGAAGTGGTCCTTGAAAATTGAGTACATGTACAAGTAAATGTACATTGTCTGAAAATCTGCTACATGTGAAAAACGCAAGGCTAGCTTCCTTTTCGATAATAAATTATTTGCTCCTCTTTTACAAAAGTAATAATATACATGTATGAAAAAAGAAAAGAAAATTTCACACGAGATGGTCATCTTTATCATAAAAAAGCTTTATAATAAAAAAAGGCTTTCGAAATATATTAACTGAAAGCTTTACTGTATTTTCAAATTGTAAAAGTTAACTGTTCATATTCTAACCTTTTGTCTTCTAGAAAAATGTAGAATAAAGACCAGATATTACAGTATACATTTCGACTTATACAACACACGGTTTGTAAAAAGTGGCTGATAAAGTACAATTTCATATAGTTTAGATGATTCATAAGTTTTCGTTTCAATATCTTGTACATTAAGACACTGCTGCCGTTTGGAATATCGATATCATATAAAATTATGATATTGACAATTTTCAACATGATTAAAACAATCAAAATCACATAATGTATGGTTTACATATCGTCAGTGCCATTTCCAGTGGTCTGATGGTCAGCTTGTGGAATAGTGTCAACTGACAGCACAATATTAGCTCTAACAAAGTCCTTCTGCCAGACGCCATCAATCTTATGGTCAAGTTTTCAATTCCTGGATACTAATATCTATCATAACTTTAAGGGCAACATTACCACCATCCATTGAAAGAAGCACATATATCCTAGAAATTGAAAGACTTTGAAATATTTTGAATATTTTCTTCATATAACCTAATCTTACAATGAGCGTTAATGAATTGGTGTTTATAAAAGACTACAGAAATCAGTATCATTTATCTTAAATAAATGGCCTATCCTTAATACTCGTAATAAACAAGGACAGAAATATTTTCCCACTCTTGCGAGAGCAAAAATTTCATAATAAACAATTAAGAAATTTTATTTAAATAGTTATCACAGTGGGCTAATATATATAAAATAGTCGAGTTTTCAAATTTGATGAGCCTACATCAATTTCATTGTAACATTTTAATGGGATATTTTTTGAAACTACAAAGAACGTTCGATTCTTTGGAAACAGTCGTAGCAACTTCGTGTGTTCTTGCAAAAATGCGTCCCTAAAACAACACTCCGTCAAAATTAACCAATAAACCATTCAGTAAGTCATTATTATCATTTCCGTTTGTATTTCACTATATAATTTCAACTGGAACATTTAATCTAATACTATTTGTTATGATTACAAATCATTGTGACATATAAAATCAAAATATGATTTTACGAGGGGGAAGATAAACTGGCATGTATATATTTCATACAGATCGACTAGTGCATTAAGAGACATTCTGGCAATTGTATAACGTCATTGTTTTGCAGCACAAAATATCCATACATACTTACTTAATATCTGTAGTAGGAAATAAAAACGATACGTCTACTGAGCCACCAACACCCAACAGCCCAGGAAGTTCAGACTTATATGAACTTGTATTTACCAGCATCTAGAAATGAAAGTGATATAATTATGGTTTGTGCAGTGGTATTTACGAAACCAATTTAAAGAAAAAGAAAAGGAGCATACATCCGCCTTTGGACTATGCTCATATTCGATAACATTGCAAACGATAACATAGCAATTTTTGTTTATATGCTGTGTTAATGGCGAATAAGAAGTATAGATTTGGTTAAACAGTATTCAATACTATTCACATCGTATTATCGTTGTTTTAGTGGTGACAAAGATCTTAAATCTTTCATTATTACAGGTAGGTTATAAATTTGCTTGGTATATTTATAAATATGCAAATGCCAATAAGAACAATTTCCATCTACCGACTGGAGTTACTATAATGAGTAATTTTGGACTCTCTTCTCATATAATTTGACCAACCATTTGCATTAAAGTTTAATTAATGAAATAAACACATAAATAGCAAAGTGTAAAAAAACTGAGGAAACATTGCCAATCAGTATACGTGTAAGTAAAAACTGCCTAAAACAAAAGTTAAGCTAAGAAAGAACATGAAATAAAGAAATTCACTAAAAACAATACTATCACGAAAATTTTTATGTAGATCTGTGATATTAACACATTGATCAGATCAACGCGAGTCGGATTTGCAAAATGAAGAGAGAAATAATTAAGTAACCTCAATGTATAGTTCAACGTATCTTTATCAATTATTTTTTATTAGCATGTTAGAATGGAAATAGATATTTAATTTATCTTGCATCATAGTATGAAAATGCAAGACTTTCGTGATTATATTCTTGCGCATTTGAACTCCAACTGCATTATTCTACAACAATACACTCAAAATTGATATATCTATTTCCTAAACAAAGCACCTTATCGACAAAAATAAAACATCAATTTTAAATTAAAGATACAAGTCTGAATTAATAACATAAGAAAGCAGATTTTTCGAACAGCATCGTATATTATATCTGAATTGGAAAACTGAAAATCAAATTATTGAAAAAGAAAAAGAAAAAAAAACATAGAAAAAAATAATTCTTACCGGAGGCTGAAACTGTAGATCTTTAATTTTTCCTGTTACATATGTAAAGTCGGGGTCAAAGCTTCTCGTCTCAAGCCAACTTCTTGACAATGGGATGCATTCCCCGGTAGTTGATATCTTTGCGCTTTCAGTTTGTTCTCTGACTAAATTACGAACACATTGCAGTGATTTATCTCCAGCACTCGATTCCGAAACCGGTACAGTGTAGATATTAAGGTATTGTGCAATCAAACTGCCACTGCTTGTCAAAACAATTAGTAAGTTAAGCAACATAATTTCAAACATTTCTGAACGAAGATGTTCTGAAAACTCGTTGCGAGCGATCTAGCAATATGCTATATAAAAATGCAATTTAATCTGTGACATTATCATCTTTTTTATTTAATTATCAATTATAGAAAAAAACTTAAGTATGTCTCAACTGATAAATCAATAGACCTGTGCTTACAGATGAAACCAATACAATTTTCAATAGATATAATTGCTAATTAAAATCTAATCGATGCAAACTTAATTATTTTTAGATATTTGCTTAATATAATCGAAAAGAGTCTTTTCACTTCGTTGGAATTAAAATTTATTTTGTTAATAGTATGGTAGACAATATCAGCAATGAAAGGCGGCGTAACGCAACCCGCAAAATTTCATTATGGGATACTCAGTGTACATTGCGGGAAATTGTAAATACCAGAAAGTTGAAAAGCCATACAGAATTAATGTTTTAATAATTATATTAATTCACTTTGCTAATACGACAAGTTAAAGTGACATTATACTTACTTTTTTCACTGTCAAACTAAGATCAATTAATAAGTTGTTCATTCCAAAAGATAGTCTAAAATAATGGCGATTGGTAGTTAAAAAAAAAAAATTCGGGGGATAAAATATAAAAACTACCTAAAATAAAGACTGTCCCCACTCTTACAAATTAATTAGGATGATAATAAGAACAACAGAAAACTCTTTATTTAATGAATGTAGCTTATAATGACAATACAATAGTCATGTTGGCCAACTTCAAAGCTTTATAAAAGATAACACATATAATACTTTATTTTTTTATTTATTTTTTTGTTGGGTTTAATATCGCACCACCACAGTATAAGTCATATGGCGACCTTCCAGTTTTATTGGTGAATGAAGAGCTCAGGTGTCCCTCCGTACATTATTTCAAACTTCACTTTTTACGATATTCTTTTGGTCTTGAAATGTTAATTTGTTGTAAAATCTTTCAAAGAATGCATAAATGGTTTTTAAATAAACACTATTAAAATGTTAACGGATATAAATGACTATAAGAATCAAAAAAAAATCTTATTTTCGAGCCGCGATCTTATTTTCGCGAAAAAATAGCTTATTTTCGGTATCCATCTATACCTTTGTTGTTTACAGAAGTAATCTTTCACAAAAAGATATTTGGGGAATAGTACTCGGATTTTTGTAATATTTCGGCACAATACAATAATGAGTATTTTCACTACAGAATATGTTTTTTTGGGGTAATGTAAGATTCGCCAGACTTAACGATTCGCCATAAATAACGATTCGAACAGAAGTAATAAAGATTCGCCACAGTTTAAATAACGATTCCGCCACGTGTATTAAATACAAATTTTTTTTCAACAATCTGTTTTTCAAACTGTTGATGGAAAACTTTTTTCCTTTTTATATTTATTTGTTAAATTCAAAAAATTAATTTACACTAAAAACTACATTTATTGAATAAAAACACACGAAAACCAAATATTTTATTAACTAAAAATTACATAACACTTTTTTTATAACTTCGTTATTTATATAAACTGGGAAAAAATATACGTGAAATGTACTTATATTAAGGTTTGTCTTGTAATTTGTCTTTGCAAATTTCTGAATATTATTTAAATGCCATTATGTTTTGTAATGTTTTGTACACGGACAATCTTTTAAATATGACCAGTTTTTTAATGGATAAGTCATGCCTTCTACTACCCTTTTAAAAGGTCTTTTCTAGTAGATGTTTTTCATTGCCTACTTTAAGTTATAGCCATACTTCTGGTTGTGCATAACGTATTTGGTGTGGTTACTATTAGAAGAACTTTTTTACGGAATCGCTTACAAACAAACGTGTAAAGCGCATGTTGTTAACATGAAAAATGAAATATTACTATTGTGGCGGGGTGTGTAGGCCGGTGCGTGAATTTTTGGAAGGAATTTGAATACTTGATGCTGCAGCGTTGGTTTTTGTGGAATTTTTATGAAAAAAAAATTTTTAAAAGGGGGGAATTTTTTTCCAGCTTTCTAAAGGGAAATTTAAAAGGGTTAAATTCCCGGGTTTGCGTCGGAAGCTTTTTTTTCTAAAACATTGAATCAATTTAAAGGGTACTTGTATTTTAATTGAAAATTGGGCAAAAGGTTTTTAAAAATAGAAAAAAAAAAATGTTTTACAAATTTATGAGGGGGTTTTTACTTTTATTTTTTATTTTTTATTCTTTTTATGTCATTTAAAAAATTGTACGGGAAAAATAAAATTTCAAATGTCATAAAAGCTTTGGGTTTACAAAATAAATTTTTGGCTCAAAGACACAAAAACCAAATGGATAATTAGCCGAAAACATTTTGGCACCCTTTTTTGTTTTTGTGAATTAAATAAATTTTCAATTTAAAAGACATTTTTGTTTTAAAGTCACATTGAACATTTTGATTTTAAAAAAATTTTTAAAAAAAAATTTTACAAGGACTGTTCAAATTTTCCAAATTTTTTTTTTAGGTTTTTAAGAAGGGAAAAGTTAAAATCCACAAATTTTTAAACCCGATATTGAGTTGTTCTCCGACCAACGTTTAGAATTTTTTAAAATTTTTTAAAAAAACCGACAATCAAAATAAAAAGTTATGAATACAAAATCTTTAATATGTTTTTTTTTCTCAAAAAAAAAAAATTTGGCATTTGAGAAAAAAATGTTTTTCAAGCGACGCTGTGTTTTCCACTTTTTTATATATGATCCCACCCTTTGCCCCACTTGCCACAGTTTTTTAAAGAACGGGGGTTACTGTGGGATACATCTTAAACAAAAAATGCAAAAGGGAAAGGAGCTGGCATGTTTAAAATTTCGTTATTTTCGTTTGTATCCCTATTTTATGTAGTTTTTTAAGCATTAAACCCTTTTTTGGGAAATATATTGGGTCCCCCTAAAATTTAAATTTTGAAAACAAAAAAAGCTTAATTCCCGGGGCGCTGTTTTGAAAATCTAAACCCTTTGTCAATAATTAAAGGATTATTTCGGCGTAAATTTAAAATATTTTTTACAAAACCCAAAAGGTGTTTTTGGTTGTTTAAAAAAAGGGTGGGGACAAATGTTTTAAAATTATGCGTTTTTTAATAAATTATCGAAAATAAATTTTTCCTTAGGGAACACAGGTTTTTGAAAAATATTTTTTTAAATATTTGACATATATTATAATAATATTTTTTTTTTCTTTTTTTTTTTTTCAATTCTTTTATTCACTCAGATATAAAAACATGAAAACTGAGGTAATTTTTTACAATATAGTACATAATAGATAAAGGCTTCAAAATCAGACAGTATCAAAATTTAACATGTAAAATAAATTTTTTAAAAATAAATATTGCGGGAAGTCAGTATTAAAACAAATACTTTTGATGGGGGTTTTCCACAGCATTAAATTTATACATTTTTTGGGTATTTTTAATCCTTTTAATTTAAAATGAAATATATATTTTTAAAATTTAAAAATTAATTTTAATATAAATTTTGTTTATGAGTAATTACAAATAAATTATTTTTTTTTAAAACATATTTAATTTTATTTTCTTTTTTTAAAATTTTTCCTACCCCCTTAAAATGTTACCTTTTTATTTAATTTTTAAAATCCCGGATGGGGGCCCTTTTCTTTTTTACTTTGGGATTTAAGAAAACCAAATTTTTAAATTATTTTGTCAAAATTTTAAATTAAATTTAAAAAAGGAAACGGTTTTTTTGAAAATTAAATAAAAATCATTTGTTTATAAAACATTTTTCTGTTTTTAACGCGAATTTTTTTTAAAAGTTATTTTAAACCTGTGGCGAATTCCGGTTTATTAAAAAAATGTGGGTGAAACGGGGTTTGTTTTGGGGAATTTGGTTTTTTGGGGTTTTGGCGAATTCCGGTTTTTTTAACTTCCTTTTTTTTAAATTTTCCAAAAAGGTTTAACGTAGTTAATTTTTCCCTTTTTTTGACCCTTTTTTTTTCTTTTAAAAATTTAAAAAAAAAACTGGGGCTATTTTTATTCAAAATAATAAATGGGGGTTTCATTTAAATTTTTGCCCCCCTCTTTTGGTTTGGTTTTTTGGGTTTTTTTTAAATTTTTTTGAAAAAACCACATTACTGGTTCCCGTTTTTCCCCAAACAACATTTTTTCAATCCATCCCCGGAAAATTTTTTTATTTTTATTTATTTTTTTTTCATTTTAAACCAAAAATGTTTAAAAAACCCTTTTGGTTTTTAACCTTGGGGCTAAAAATTTTTTTTTAGCAGGGGAAAAGTTTAATTTTTAATTGGGGTTTTTTAAAAAAAGGAAAATAACAGGAAAATATTAAAAATAAAAAAATTTTGTGGGGTTTTTCCTAATTTTCCTTTTTAAAATTTTCTTCGTTTTTTCAAATTTTGGCCCAATTTTTAATTTTTTTCTTAAAAAATTTTAAAAAAAATTTTCAGGGCTCAGGGGGGTTTTTTTAAACTGCAAAAATGGATTTTTAAAGGGTTTTAAAAACCCCGTTTCAAAAAAATTTAAAGGTTTAAAAAGGGGGATGGGACTTTTTTAAAAAGGGGTATAATTTTTAATTTAAGGGGACAAAATTTTACCTTACCCAAATTTTTAAATTGGGGGAAAGGGGGTTTTGGTCATAAAAAATAACAGTCACTTAACCAAGGGAAAAACATTTTTCTCTTGGGTAATTTTTTAGAAAAACTGTCACTAGAAGGGGTCCTAAAAAGGGAAAAATTTAAATTATAAATCCCAAAAATTTCCCCAAGAACATTGGGTTTTTTTTGTTATGACATTGAGAAAGTACATTTATACCCCAATTGGGGACAGCTTTTTCTACTGCAAAAAGATATCAAAAATTTGAAAAAAAGCCTTATAAATAGGTTAAAATTGTTATTACCCCTTTTTTCTGAAGTTTTAGTTTGTCAAAATTACTTCAAAAAAATAAATTTTTTTTTATTTTAATATTTATGACAATTTTTTTTGGGGACAAGTTTTATTTTTGTTAACTGAAATTTAAAAGTGGTTTTGAATTTTGAAAAAAAGGGAAAAAAGGGTCCCGTTAAAGGGTTTGCCCTCGATTTA